TATATATATATATATATATATATATAAGGTTAAATAAGCAAAGGTTGTACTAAAATGAAAAACAGGATTCTAGGACAGACTAAAAACAGTGAGACAAAGAAAAAAAGAGTTCACGATAATAGCCCAAATTGTCAGTACTGCAAAATTTGAAAGAACCACAAGAAAAAATACTAGCAGTGCAGATGAAAGAATAGGGATTACTGTGCATAGAGAATGTTACACTTGTGGAGGGTTATAGTCTATATGTATTGTATTTGTAGGAGTGGAAGCTTTGATCCAAGCTTGTGGCATGTGCAGGAAATTACAATGCGGAATGCATGAGGTAATAGTCATTTGTGATGAGCAGCCTTTGTGAATTAAAAAAATTATAAGATGTATTTCACATAGGGTGTGAGAGAGAAAAAAAATATTACATTAAAATTACTGATAAAGATAGTTTTGCAGTGAATACCACTAACATATGTATGTTTGAACATAAAGGATTTTGGTTATTTACTTTATTCAAACACTTAGGAGCTTTGGTTTTTTGTAAATAAATATTTTCAGAATATGTGCAACTGTGCATGCTTATGATTTTTTATACCAATCTTATTGTTTTTAAAAATCACCAGCAGGTTTTGGTAAGAAAAAAAAATACAACATACCCATTTCTATCTGGACTTCTGAATTTTTCAATATCAGGGGATGTTGATAACAGAGAAACTATTTCACTTCCACTGGATATCAATGATTCTTTAGAGTTCTTAAAAAAAAGTTGAAAACAAACTTTCTATTAAAATTGTAACAGGGATGTATGACTTCACATACATAAAACTCCAAAAATTGTGAAAGTACAAATGATGTATTAAAAAGCTGCTGATAAAATTAAATGTCCTTTTTGCTCTGTCATAAACAGAGAATAGTAAAAATAATAAGTGCAAAGTTACAACTTAGAACAAACATATTTAAAACAGAAACAATGAGTCACAGTTATCTACATAATTTTAAAGTTTTAACTATTTTAAATAATAGTTTCAACATCATTGAACATAAAATAGAAACTAAAGAGGAGCTCTTATTAAGTAAAAAATAATGGTTACAGATACAAGTGCATGCAAGTATAAACTTTCGGTGTTCACTCTTAGCTTTTGCTTGAAAAAAAGAAACTACTGGAAAAAAAAGAAGAAAATTTTAATTTCATTTGTAACCTTAAGCTATCCATACCTTATTCTCTTTCTTTGATTCCACAGCCATCTGTAACTGGGTAACATTTACACGTTCAGTTTCAAGAGCTTTTAATAAAGCTTGTGAGTAAGTTTTTTCATTTTGATAAGCTTCTCTGTTGGTAAGACAATGACTTAAGATTACTTGTTTTGATATTAACAGAATGCTTTTCTGGTTTGCAACATGGTTAAACAGCACTTCAACTAATTCATAAACCAAAATATTTAAAAGTCTCTTACAGTTAGTCACTAAAAATAATACTAAAGAAATATAAAAAAATATTATATATTAAACAAAAATTATGATACAGAAATAAAAATAATTTTAATTAAGTAATAAGAGATAAAAAATAATTTTTGAAGTTATAAAAGAAATTCTTTCACATTTATTTATATGTTTATTATTATAGATTTCATTTCTTAAAATTCTCATTAATATTTCACTCTTCCATTTCCTATATTATTAAGTGCTTTTATTGGTAAACCCAATTTTTCTGGAAATTATTTCTTGTACAAATATATTCTCGTAGGCCATTCTTTCTCTTTGTTTGCAATTGTTTACACACATACATATACAATGCTATTTCACAATTTGGGTCATATTCTTAGAAAAGTGTACCATCTCACTTCTGGTACAATGGCTAATTTAACTGATCAACATCCTTAAAAGCACAAGTGCATGAATGCAGGGACATTTTTGACGAGGCAAACTAAACACACCTGAAGATAGGAGGAAGAGTGGGATGGGGTGCAGAGAGGTGAATATCTATCTGAAACACATTTTCGGATAAGGAAAATATTAACTTCAAAAATGTTACTCACTGCTCTGCACCACAAAGAGCTAGAATACCATATAGAAGATGGT